AAATCACTAGGCCGTGTCATATGGATCATAATATTATTTAGTGAATAATGGATGAATTAATTTCTTGGTTTCTAGTCTCGCAATTAACCTGCTGAAAGTCAACATATAACTTAAAGAATCACCCCTTTTTAAAAACTATTTCTCCCCAGTATCCCAGACGTATCAAGTTACGAAGCTAATTTCAGTTTGTCTGAACATTACGAGAAGTAGAATAAAGGCTATTGTCCACGTAGCGCTCTGAGTGGCCTCGCTTACACTGCACACTATCGTTCTCAAGCTGAAATTGAAAAGGCACAATGCTTAAAAGCATACCCCATCTAACAAAAGCCCCCGTCTCGCGAACGGACAACAGATACAAGTAAACACTTTAAACCATAAAAAGATAGCGCAAACGCTATTATTATTAACAAGAGAAAAGTGTCGGTGGACGTGCGACACCAAAAAGAATAAGTGTTAGCAGCGCATCGATTTTTATACCCCCAGTGGGAGGCGGGGTTAGTGAGTGGGCCAATCACGGCGCGGTGTGCCGACCAATCAGATGGCGGCGTGGTGCTACGTTTCAGCGCTTCGTTTTATCGTGTAATGGAATTTGCGCGGAGTACGCGTTCTGGATTACTGTGGAGCCTGTGATGCGGGGCGACGGGAATTTTTTACATTTCTTTTCTTATTGATTTTTGTCAGTTTATTCACGAGGTTATTGGTTTTGTTCGAGTACTGTTTTAGGCTTAAGATGTTTGGGTATTTTAAGGGTTTCTTTAAATAGTCTAGGAAGGTTTAGTTATCATCAATCTGCTTGTTTGAGGATTGAAACGTATATTGTACATCACCATGTAACTTTGTATGACATCATATTTCATACATTACTACGAGCAATTAGATTCGTCTTAAAACATAATTATCTACAAAACACTTCACATATAATCCATTGAATACAACCATTATACCCAGAGTATTACAGGTCACAAGTGGTAACTGAAAATTCCAACAATAGTCAGTATGAAACTAAGCGGTTGTGCGAGCATTTTTTCATTTCCCCATTATCGTACACTCGGCACTTTCAACAATAAAATATTGCCGATAAAAAGACTCGCAATCGTTATTGTTATTTCGAATATCGATAAAAAATAAACTTGCGACCAAATAGGAAAATACGGGATCGATTTTAGTGTTGGGAAATATTTGTTACATAAATGTGTTATTTATCGAAAAAACATAACAACGCTTGAATATCATACTAACGTCGATTTCCCAGGTCGGGCAAAATATGCTTAAGATTTTTTTTTTCAAAATTCTCACTGATTCTAGCTAGAGGTCTGGAACATAACCCAGTATGGCAATAGGTTCACCCTCATACACTAATAACGTAGCTAATAAGCTAACATAATATAACAATTCAGTAAACAAATTGAACAAAATTACAATCAGTGGCGTAGGCGTTTGCTACGAGCTACGCGCCTACGTCTTCGTAGCGCGTAGCACACATCGTAGACGCGTAGCAAAGGATTTGGTGATTTGCTACGGTGATTAGTTAGATTTTGTTTGGAGATTAGTTTAATGAATAACATATTAATTACAACATATTTGTGTACTAGCTTCTGGCCGCGGCTTTGCCCGCGTTCCAGTGGGATATAAAGTAGCCTATGTATTCCAGATCATCTGTCCCCGTTTTAAATGTTATGCCTATTCCTTTAGCCGGTTTAACGAGATTGAGTACACATACACACAAACACATAAACTCACAAACTTTCACATTTATAATATTAGTAAGATTGAATTGTTTACTGGTAATTTATTTAATTTTGCTTTCTTACGCGCGACAGAGCGAAATGGTATCACTCTGTCGCATTCTAAATATGCCTACATTCAACATAGTTGTTGCTTCTAATAGGCTAATTCTAAAATCGTTGAGAGAAGGCTTACGTTGAGCAGAGGACACTTTGATGGTGAAATGATGATGATGGCGACAACGCAACTCTTTATTTCGCGGATTTTAAAAAATTATACATATATCGTAGATTTGATCATAGGTTCACATTTCTGACACAACTTACACCCGAATACTGAAAGGCTAATCAAATTTAAGTTGTACTTAAATATCGTGGCATCTCTGTCATTTTATAAAGAATTTGTAGAGACAGAACTATACTTAAGTGCGACTTAAAGTTGAGTAACGTACTAGATATCATTATACATAGAAGTTGGATATCCCTATGACACCTAGAATAGACGTATTTAGCCACCAAACCAATTATTTCAGTTTAAAATTAAAATCTATCGACAATGATTGTCACATCCCTACACCAACTGTACCGTCCCCAGAGCGTAGTGCTGCAATCCTCTTTGGCAACAATCGATATTTATACTCGGAACGCGATCGCTCGGTAAGCGAGAAAGCTTGTTCCTAACAATGGGAACTACTCTAAAATCTAACATTTTGCCGCCGAGTGATTTATAGTCTCTCTTTCTTTATATTGCCTGATTTTCTTTTCTCTCTCTCTCTAGTTTGTTTTATGTTTGTCTATTTTTTTATTTACCTTTTTAAGATAAGTGTGGTTGGGATTGCGTAGTGAGGGCTTTATTGGCTATTTAATGTGATTGGGGTTTTAGAATAATGAAATTTATTTTTTTAGATATGAGATGTATGGTTTTGAGTAAATGTACATAGATTTAGTGTGGATATGAAAACAAAAACATAACATAACATCACGTCTTTTATCCTCGAAGTTGTAGGCAGAGGTGCACATTATGCCACTGTACAATGTAACACCAACTTTTCACTATTTATGTTAAGTGTCCCATGTGATAAGGGGTGAGCCTATTGCCATATACCGGGCATAATTCCAGACTCCGTGTTACTACTGTGAATTTTTTGAAAAAACCCAGTAATACTTTGCCCGACCCGGGAATCGAACCCGAGACCCCTTGCCCCGAAACCTCGCACTTGCGATCACTAGGCTAATAAGGCAGTGGATGGTTTTTTATAACATTCCGTCTAAATTCTGATTATAGTATTTTGCTCATTTGTAGAAGCTAGTTAGTTATTTCTAATGACTACTTGTTGAATGCTTTTTCAGTTTCATTTTTCCACGGAGTAAAAAAGACATCATTTTAAAACTCAACAATACCACAGAATCTGTTAAAGCCTCAATTCTATGATAACGAAATGTTGCTCAACATCACTGACGAAAACCACGGAGTACAGAGTCAATCAAAGCGTTTATTGCAACTAAACTTACAGATACATATACTAAGGAACTTGTAGATGATAGCCACAGGATTATGATTGTGAGTTAGCCTTGGGACAGGTGATGGAGATAAATGATGCAACGTCAACAGTGAATCCTTACTAATATTATAAATCGGAAAGTGAGTTTGTTTGTTTGTTCCGACTTCACGCCGTAACTACTAAACCGATTGCATTGAATTTTAGCAGACGTAAAGTTAGTGGTCTGGATTCAATAATAGGGTACTTTTTATCCCGAAAAAGTTTGATATTACCGAGGGAAAACAATAGTATTGGTATAGATGGCGCTGTATGTATTGGTATATGTCACATAGCCTACTTTTTATCCTTTTCTGACGCGAGCGAAGCCGCGGGTAAAAGCTAGTATAGGAATATATTGTTAAAGATTTAGTGCAATGTCCTGCTTGGTTAGAAGCCAACGGCTAACTGCCGCTCGCGTCACGCCATTACAATTAAATACAATTCTGCAAACTGCTACATACTCGTAATACGAACCCTACGTGATAATGCTCAAGACTTAGCGGTCTTTCACTATTTTACTTTCACCCTTCTTTTCCAGAATATCTTATTAATTATTGTCATAATCACTCACAAGATATGCTTGTCACAACACTCCCTAATACCCCAGGTGTCAAGTCTTAAACACATTTTGTCTGTAACTCAATACTTTCTGTCACACAGACCATGTGTCACCATAGCCACTTAAATCTCATTATACAGTCGTAATCTTTAATGCCTAAATATTCCTTGTTCAGTATTTTGTCTTTGTATAGGTATTCAATGACTTGTGTTTAATTAGTTTACTGAATTTAGGTTTTTGGTAATTAGCTTTGGGGAGTGGTGGCTTCGTTTGTTACACTACATCAATGTCGACTAAAACTGTGTAAATAAAGAATTGTATTGTGTGAGAGAGTAACCTATAGAGTTTCTTGCTCTTTCTCTATAGGAATCTATAATCTACACTTTTGAATGATCAAATAGCTTCATTTTTATCGTGTTGACGTTCAAAAGTTACTTCCTGGTCTAATTGAAATAAATGAATTTTGACTTTGACTTTAAACGTGTTAAAACGTTGCATATTAAATATATTTTATTTGTATTTGGTAATCTTACTTCAATTGGGTAGTTTCCTGGGTCAAAAATAAATTATTTTGATTTTTCAATCCAATTAAACATTGAAAAATAGTTACACTTTCATTCATTGATTTGCCGATATAATTTTAGATTAATTCTAGCATTTTTTTTCAGATATAAGTGTGCTATTTGACGCGAAGATATGATGACGTCATAAGCTAGTATTTCGTACAAAATTCATAGAACAGTATCGTTTTTGACGTTTCGATAAAAGTATTGAATTTGACTAGTCGTCAATTACCGTATTACGATATATTGACATTTCACTGCTGAACTACGAGCCTCTTCTACATAAAAGGGTCAAAAGCCTTGCCTAAATCTTCATATCTGGTAGGCGGGTTTTAACGGAGAACCTAACGGGTAACCGGGGCTCCGGCTCGACGTGCAGGAGAAGGAACGGGGTGGTTTTTAGTCAGTAAGAGTCTGACACTCCCTCCTGCCTCACCCAGGCGGGAGAAGTCATTCGATGATTTTCCCCCATTAAAAAAAAGGTTCAGGTTTATCAAAGAGCGCTACTGGTCTCTGTTAAATGTGTAGTCCCTTACTCGGCTATGAGGACTCCCATTTAAGTTGACTCAGTTTCTGGTATATGTCTATTTAGTTTGTATTGTTATTGTTACAGATTGGGTCTCATATCTCAATGGAGCGCTCTAGCAGGGAGGTATGGCGGTTTGGTGCCCGCTCCGTGGTACTGGCAAAGACCTCAAGACAGAACCACTCCTCCAAGAGGTTTGTTTAATTTATGTTTTGATTAAATAGATGCTGCCTTACCCAAATGTGGGGCTACCCGTTAAATGCAATGGTGAATTTGAACCACTTTGGATCTCTATCAAAAATGAGATATGAAACTTTGCAAACTTATAGCAAAATGTTGGTAACGCAGTAATCTGTTGTGTAGTGCACTAATTAAATTCCGTCTGATCATTTACCTTTTGAACGCCATGGTCGGATATAGCCGACTGCGGGTCAAACGGTTAAAAAAAATCGAGTAACAACATACAGTCAAGACTTATACTTCATAGGTACAATAAATTTCTAGAGAATATTAATAAACACTGTTCAACCTCTTCGAGCCCTTTCTCAGAATATCCAGAACAACATAGGTGCTACCTACACAGATTTGACTAAATATTGGTTACCCAATGCTAGGTAACGATTTAGGGGAAACTGCATGATGATAGGTTAGTTTGCTGGAAGGAAGCCATCAAGACTTTGAGGTCACTGATGTCTATGCAGTAGGTAGGTATCGTGACGTCATTGATGTTCTATACCAGTGTATGATACACTCTGGATGCTACTAGTTAGACCTGGTAAGGTAACTGTAGATTGTTTTTGAGCCCCGATCTCGTAGGAATATTGAATGAAAAGTATGATATTTTATTCCCTGCAAAGTAAGGTTAGTATCGATAAAATAGTTCTTCTATCTAATTGGTTTGGTAGTTCGTTATATAGTCTATGTTGTTCATAAAACAAAACTATATGCAAAATATAAATGTTTTCTTTTTATAAGTAAGACACACAATTAAAGAAAGAAACGAAACGAAAAGGAAAGTCAATCTAGTCAAATAAATACAATTTGATAAAAAAGTACAATAAAAACGTGCATTAATTCCAATAATAATCACAACTAAATTGCACCTAACAATAAGTAACTCGATACGAAAACTGAACAAATTTTCCCGCTTATTTCTAAACAACACGGCCATTACCGCGTATTACTCGCACAGATAATAAATGATGTCAGCGAGCTACCGTAACAGATTAGCACTAGTGGGGCGTCCGGACCTAATCGATTCTATGCGATGTATCGAGTTTCTGACGTGATTTCGGTGTCAGGTGAACGGGATTAGTGATGCGTTTTGACAAACTGTTAGTCGAGTAACTGGCTGGATTTTGTGTTATTTGTTCCGAAATTGAATTTGGAATTTGAAATCAAATTTCCATTGTTAGCGTGTTTTCGATGTGGGTTTTGTTTTCTGTTAATTATTATGTATGTGTAACTATATGTATTTGTAGACGGATTTCTAAAACAATGTATAAGTATTGGCACATAGGTACGTTTATAATGATTTTGTTTATAACATTTTCAGTTAGTTAATGTTAGTTCATATATCTGTAACTGTAGGGCCTATAGCAATCATCGTAGGTTTACGAAAGGTTTATGACTAGATTCGAACTCATTTCAGACAAAATGCTTTAAAAAAAATTGTTAATGCTTCTCTCTTTCTTTCTTTTCCCTTTTTTTTTAAAAAACGTTGCCCCACCCTAGGATTTTCTCCTGTGTCGGGTGCGTTTACAAACATACAAGTTCACATACACATCACGCCTAGACCTGAAACAACTATTTGAGGATCACACAAAGAGTTGTTTCGAGCGGGAATCGAAGCCGCGACACGCGCGGCAGCCGGCTGCAATACCCAACTACTCTACGTAAAACATTGTACACGCGAAACATAACTGTCATCAAAACTAACGTAAAACTAACAGAAACGTAGCAAAGCTAGGCGCACGTTACCTCTAAACAAGCAATCGTCATAACATGCTCTCCAACCCCACTCGACGCGGCTTTAATTTTCCAAAACCCATCTCAGTGACGAAACAAAGGCGCCACCATTTCACGCGGTCCAAACCGACCGAACAATGCTTTACTACCATCACAGCACAATTACCGACGAAACAACAAACCTATATCCATCTCTCTCACTCCCATACCATTCCATATACGAATCAGTTCGCGCCAAATGTGGTGTTGCCGCTCTGTCAGAGTGATGTCGCGCGCGGTCGTTTTAATTTTCGAATGCGGTTTATACGGAACGCTGTTTTGTTTGATTGCTCGGTTTTTGAATGTACTTTTTTTTTAATTTTTGTGATTATTGACGATGGCATGACTGACATAGGGACTCAGGTGTGGGGTGAACTTCAAAGAGGTTTTAAATGAACATCACGTAGTTGATTGCAAAAAATATAAATGTGTGATTTGTTTGACAGTTTTTGTTGCTTCATTATATTTTTTATGTCAACCGACAAAGGAATGGATGAAGGCGGCGTTATTTATTCGGGTCAAACGTGATAGACATCTTGAATTTTTACAAGTTAATTTTGATGAAATTCCTTGACATAATTGTACCTAAGTATTGAATAATATGCCAGCAACTCGGAAACTAGTAAACTGCTTAACTCGTAAGCGGTTGTGTAAACAGCAAGCGAGCACTAACACAGGATTACTCACAGGGCTTCTAAAATCAATGCAAATCACACATCACAACACCAACTAGAAAGACCTCTGATTACTACATCAAGTTGTGAAGTAACAGGTCCAGTTATACTGGATATAAAATCGTTGTACGACCAATTAACAAGAGCTTGCGAATCAAGGCCCTTGTATGCAACGTTGTGATTTGCATTATACTGGTTTTATCATTGTTTCAAAGGCCTCTTGTTAAGTGACAGTTAAAAATCGACTCTATTCGTCGAACCAATAAAGTACAAATTAGAATAAAACAACGTTCTCTAGTTTCTATTTTAAATTAGTGATGACAACAGCGAGGTTCCAATTTCAAATATTGAATTTGATTTTTTTACAACAAAAGGTATGTTACAAGAGCCTTGCCAGCCTTTGTGTTTGTGGGCATACAGTAACCTTACTCATACGGCTGCACACATCGCAAGCGTTGATTCACTCTAGTTTTTACGAAGCCGTGGTGTCACTCCGGTTGAGCTGGCCCATTTTTACCGAAGCTTCCACGTGAAAAGTCGGAAAAGTCATTACCCTTGCAAGGATTTCCTTGTAAATATTGTTTGTCTAATGAATAGCTTCAGCACTAATGGTTCATTAAAGCCAATTAGCCAGTTCCCTAGTGTTTCAGTTCACCTACAAACTATTTAGTCAACTGGTACAAACCGGTTTGTGCTTAGTCGGTCCATTGCTCTGATCGCGTTACCTTATGAGTTACGATATAATTCGAATTTTATGCTGCTTATGTATAATGTCTGATTAGGTAATGTTGCAAAATTTTGTTGGTTTCGTAATACACTCGTAAAGATTATATATGATGTAAGTATGTATATTGTCGCGGAGAACCTAATGGATAACCGGGGCTCCGGCTCGACGTGCAGGAGAAGGAACGGGGTGGTTTTTAGTCAGTAAGAGTCTGACACTCCCTCCCGCCTCACCCAGGCGGGAGCAGTCATTCGATGATATTCCCCCTTAAAAAAAAGTATGTATATTGTATTGTACTAGTGTGTAGGTATATAATTATACAAGCTTCTACCCGCGACATCGTACGCGCAATCCCGTTTATTCCCGTTCCCGTTCGTGTTTTTCGGTAAAATGTAAAAAAAAACTGTTGGATAAAAAGTATCCTATGTCCGTCTCCTGGTTCTAAGGTACCTCCCCACCAATTTTCATCGAAATCGATTTAGCCGTTCTTAAGTTATAAATAGTGTAACTAACACGACTTTGTTTTAAATATATAGATTTATTTATGTATATCTCTGAAATATACAAGTTCATCTTCCTTTTCAACCGACTTCATGTTAGCCGATTCGATGGTTCGATTCCCGGGTCGGGCAAAGTATTACTAGGCATTTTCAAAAAATCTCAGTAGTAGCACGGAGTCTGGAATTGTGTCCGGTATATGGCAATAGGCTCACCCTCTATTACATGGGACTGATAACATAAATAGTGAAAACTGGGTGTTACATTGTACAGTGGCATTAACTGCCGTAATGTACACCTCTGCCTACCCTTTCGGGAATAAACAGCGTGGTAATGATAAATGATATGTTATGTTATGTAATCAATACTAGTTTGCATAGTTTGACGGCATGGTTAGTGCGGTAGCTGGACAATCGGCACAGATTATTATTCCGGGTCTGGGTGTCATGTGTATGTGAACTTGTATATTTGTAAACGCACCCACGACACAGGAGAAAATCCTAGTGTGGGGCAACGTGTTTAATTTAAAGGAACATACAATCTCATGTTAAACCACCGCTTATTTACTGAAGCTTCTATTAACGTATTAACCTAATTCTAAAAAAATCACTTCATAAACAAACGAATACATTTATTGCTTAGCCCACGCTCTGTAAAGTCAATAGAGCTTAAAACAAATCACAGAGGATTAACGAGTAAGGATTCTTTGCGGCCGGAATCGACTAGCCGGAGTATAAATAGAGGGACATATCCAATTACTATTAGTCGATTTACTTTTAATACAAATCGTACAACGCCTTTGATTGGGCAATTTGACGGCGTTTTTGAAATAGGAACTCGGTTTAGTGTTCCGATTTGAAAGTTGATGTCGTTTTGTTTTTTATTGAGGTTAAATAGAGATTAATTCGGTTGTACCTCTATACTGATAATTGTACACGATTGCACCTTTTAAATCTTGACAAAATTCGAATACTATTTTAAAGCTTTCTTATATTAACAGTCTTTTCTTTGTTACAGAAGATTCCACAACCAACGAGGAAGGCTCAGCAGGAGGATCCCCTCGGATCAGGAGTCCAGCTCGAGCTCCCACTCCTCCCTCCCCGTCCCGTTCCTCCCCTCGCTCCCCACGTCTCCATCCAGCCCTCTACCCTCAACAACCAGACGTCCAAGACTCAGATCCAGACGTAGACGAAAGCGACGACTTCGATAAAGACGAGAAACGGGACCCTAACGCCAATCTAGGCAAACGAAAGAAGAAGACCAGAACCGTCTTCTCAAGATCCCAGGTCTTTCAACTAGAACAGACGTTTGATATGAAACGATACCTTAGCAGCTCGGAGCGCGCTGGTTTGGCGGCTTCGTTGCATTTAACAGAGACGCAGGTGAAGATCTGGTTCCAGAATAGAAGGAATAAATGGAAGAGGCAGCTAGCTGCAGAACTAGAGGCTGCTAACATGGCTCATGCAGCGCAGAGATTGGTTCGCGTTCCAATCTTGTACCATGAGTCGCGGCCGACGTCGATGCCTCACACGCCGATGCCGTTGCACCCGCAGTTCAACGATGGCGTCGGAGGGGTTTACTTTCCTTCCCAAGCTCCTCAGCAGCTGCAGCCCCTCCCGGCGTCTCCTGTGACGTCCAGGGCTCCGCTGTCCAGCCTCGTGTAGTGTTCGCTTGAGCCCGCACGCTCAGAAGAGGGACATTATTGAATGTGATCGTGCGGGACTAGTCATGTTCAGAGTGTTATTGCCAAATCGTTCAAATGTAACTTTATGTATAGGTTCGTGTTGGGACGTGTTGCGGTGGGTTCGGGTAAGATAAAGATAATTGTGGTCATCGTGGTTTGTGGCTTAAAGACGTCTGTGAAGTGATAGACGTTAGTGATTGTGTTCTAGGAGTATGGTAATGATAATGACTGTAAAAATACAAAGATTGTCTTTAATATTAAGTGTAAAGGTTGCTACAACAAAGAAAATTGTGGTACGTACTCTTAAATGAAACGTCATTTTGACAGATGCGACAATGACAGTGACATTGACAGCTAGCAAAGTAAGCAAAGGAAACATGTTATAAATCCTATTGTTTAAAGGTTTTAAAAAGTTTCTGTGGTCGCACATCGATAGTCTAGTCAGGTAACTTGTTGAATTAAAGCTGGTGGCCACGGTGAAAGGTTTTATTACCAAGTCTCCATTGTTTGAGGCCCTAATCTTATCCGAACACGCCCCAACCATTTTATTTACGTGCTAGATAAATTGCAACGACGTAGTACTACGTTCTATATGCGCTATAAGATACAAAAGAGGTTTTATTGTTTTTAGTCGTCAGGTTTTTTTTCTCATACTTTGAATGCACAGCACATCAAGTCATTAAGTTATTTATTCGATTTTTAACTTTAAACTAGAGTTTTAAAGTTGAGAATGTATTAAAGAATTTTGTCAGTTTTGGGTAGCTTAATGTGCTATCTTGTACTTTCCTTTAGCAAGTGTTATGTTAAAGATTTGTAAGTAAATAATTAAAAACAATAAGCCAACGTCGTTGTTAATGAATATAAATAGTAAAATGATTCGAGTTACGGTCAGTTTCATAGTTTCTTGATATCAAATGGATATAACAAATAATTAAAATCCTGTCTAATTACGGATGACAGCTTATTAAACTGTCAAACACCGCGAGGACACCGGTGACCGCAACCTATTGTTCTTTAACTGTGTCTATAATGACGGCACTCAAAGGATAAAACTTCCTCAATCTTTTTAATAGATTTTCAACCATGTTGCAATAAGGATAAAGTTGGCATTCCGATACATTTTGGATTAGCTTAATGTGTGGTCAATACAAATGTCAGTTAAAGATATCAAGGAGCTGTGAAACTGGCAATTAATATTACGTACAAAGTTCTATGTAATTCTGTGTTGTATATTGTTGTAAATAAGAATGTTTTAATAATAATTATCCTCCATGTATTTATTTATTTTGACGCGTAAGATTGTAAATAATAGCTATCGAAAGAACTGAGTATTCGTTTTTTAAATGTAAGCGTTCGATTTATGAAGTTTCCTTTTTTAAATTAATGTAATTTTATAGTCTCTAGTCGCTGGATCGATTTTTTTTAGTTCAAAAATGACGGTTGACATTTATGATTTATGACAATGAAATCTTTTCTCATAGTGTACTATTTTTTAGTAGAGCTGTATTTGTGTAGATAGCTTAAACTTCGCTAGCTAATCCTTTGGAATTTCTAGATTATTCTTGTGAATTGGCATATCGAATAAAAAGAACGCATATCGCGACTAACGTAGAAGAAAAGACAAAATTAAACGAAAATGCTCAGAATATTGTAAATAAATTAAAAAATAGGATAAATAAAAACACTGTGTTATTGTTTTTTAAGATTTTTTAAACCCTCAGTAACTTTAAATATTTATACAGAGATATCGATTGGAAAAAAATCGATTATGAATTGTTTTTTTTTTGATAAACTGTGTTGCTATGTTGCTTCAATGTAATTCTGTAATATTGCTAGCCTAAATAAATAAATAATTAAAACGATGCTTAATTCTAAAATATTAATGTTATTTACTGATAGTAGTTGAATGATCTTCGTAATTGTAATATTATTATGCTGAGGTACGGTGAGGAAATAAAATCAGTATGCAATATGTGTTTCTTTTTATTTTCCTTTGTATATTGACACGTCTATTATACATAAGTTTAATTATGCCTAAGTTCATGCACAAAAATGTGACCTAAATTTTTTTATTTTTTTTTTATTAATTTTACATTTATACATCCTTTATACAATACAACATTAATTTCAGTGTCGTGTCCTTGCTGTGAATTTTTAATACCTAACCTACAATTTCACAAAAACTGTTACATTACAAGAAATACATCGATAAAAATCTACTGACTTTTATAGATATTAACCTCACAAGAATAAAAAGGTTAGCATAATAACTTAATGGAAATCGTAAATCTCCAATAAAATAAAACAGTAAAAAACACATCCCCAATTAAAAAAAAAGAAAACCGACAAAAAATAATTAAATTACATCCAGATCAGTGTCATGTCGCGTGCCGCGTTATCTGGCAATCAGAATGCCAGAATGTCAGAATGTCAGAATGCCAGAGTGGGGTAACTAAACGTTGCCACGCGCCGCCAACGCGTAGCCTACCACATCCGGCCATTTCCGGTGCGGAAGGTGTGGGAGCTTCGCTTCCGGTCAGGATGTGTTGCCTGTTTTACATGGGTAATATTTTTTTAATGCAGGCAACATTTTGCTTAGCGGGAAAAGTGTGAAGACGGGTTTTATGGTGTTGCAAGTTATTGTTTGCGAATTATATCTCAAAATTAGTAGGACATTAGACAGATATACAACTATTAGGTACAAATTGATTGACTGGTAAGTATTCTTAGACAACTGATAAATGATTAGGGAGAGAATTACGCTTTGAAGGTTTGTTTGAAGGACAAAACGATTTATACTTTGCGTGGTATAGGAGATGCCTACAGTCCTGTCCAGGAGAGATTTATTATTTATTTATTTATTTAAATAGGTATACCAACAGCTTCTGTATACATAGTATTAAGTGATAATGAAAGTAACAATAGGTATTAGGCTTATACAGTCGCCAATTATAGGTTAACCAACATTTAATTAGTTAAGTGGTAGGTAATAAGATACAAAAATGAACGACAACAATAAAATTTTAGTTACTAAAAACGATGGCCAGGCGATGTCCTACAGTGGATGATAATTGGCCGATCATGATGAAGTTTAGTACTGTTCGTAAGTACAAAGTAAGTATTTATTTGTAATTTAGTCTTATATTTTAACTACAGATGTTCATTTTAGTTGATATAAAGAAGTACCTAATTTACTAGGTTTCATTGGCTGCTGTATGAGATTCAAAATCAAATTGATCAAATATGTTGGTACGGTTCAACGCTAAAAGTAAAATTAACATTAAAATTATAATCCTACAAAAGTTAATTTACGGATAACCGAAATCTTCCCTCAAAATGGCCACAAAAGTAATTTAAATTAAACAATCACATTAAATTATTCAACAACAATGAAAGAGGACTGCAATTATATAGCCAATTACTTACACCGTTAATTACAAAATAAACTTATTTATTCATTTACCAAACAAATTGTTAAAACAAAAACCGAATTGAGTAATTTCCACTTTTGTTCATTTTACGTATCAATCATCAATTTTAATTAATATGATCGCCATTAACTGACCATTCACGGATATATCAATTTAATTAAGCGATTCTCGATATTAATTCGATTATTACCTGTCGTAAAAATGTTACAAAACAGTTCGTTTGGCCGCGCAAACGACGCCATGACACGAACGCCTTCCATTATCATAAAGCAATTTGGATTTTATCGTTAAGTAATAGAGATTACATTGGTTTATCACGACTATACTCTAATTACCGTTATGCATCCCGGTAAACAGCACGCCATATTCTCATTTTGTGTGGAAAATGAACCTTAAAATTGTTACGGTATGATATCATTTCAAAAAATTGGCGTTGATGTTTTAATTGTGTTTTGTTTTTGGTTATGGAAATTGAACTTTGAGACAGTTTCTTTTTTTTTTTAAGATTTATACATTGACATCTATCGGCGTAAATTTTGTAGAATCTCAATTTAATTAAAAATGGTTTTTTATCGTGCGATCGCGCGTGCTTGCAAGTGTTGGCACGCTCCGATTGTCGTACGAACGCCGCATGCGAGGCAATCGCCATGTTGTTTTTATCAACTGTCACTTAATTATCGAAATTGAATTTGGAACGTGCGCCCGCCATATTACCGTTTTATTAAGTGCATTTCCGTTTATTTGATTTTTCATTTGCTAATGAGAATTCTTTAGATGTTTTGAATGGTTGAGATTTTTGTTGTTATCGCTGGTTAATTAAACATGGTTTTTGAGTGGTTTATCCCTGTTAATGAGTATCATAGCTATTACGAAACCTTACTTTACGTTCTGAGTAGACGTGTTTTGGTAAAAAGCTTCAGTTTATATTTATTTTCTGTTTGCAATATTGTAATTCATTCTGTGCGGGTAATTCATAAAAAGTTTGATATTGTGTACCTACAGTACCAATGCTTTTATTAGGTACCCTCCTGTCTCTCAAGGTTGTTTTATTGTATTGTCATACTCGTGCATTAGATATCAATGTAAATATAAAACATTTACAAACTTTGAATTGTAAATAATATACTGTCTCAATTGGAAGGAACTAACATCTAAGGTACAGGCTGGGCCTAGTTTAGATGTTAGTATTCATAAACTGTGTGTCTAATGTTTTTGTTACAATAAACACTTTTATTTATTTATTATTTATTTCAAAACCATCCAATCCTACTAACACAATTTTCTATAAACAAACAAACACGTCATATCTATGGATTAATAGTAAAAATATCCTTTATTACACCCTAGAGGGTCATATTGTTTACATTAACTTTTTAATTGCTTTAAACGCGTCCAAAAAGTCCGCAGTATCAATTAATAACATGTTAAGAGGCAATTCAGGATAACTGTTAGATAAAACAACACGGAAACGTTAATGGCCGACTCGATGTCACACCAACCAACCTTAAATGCCGGCGGAAAAAACTAGAACTAATTTTTTGTATGAATTAATTGCCAACCGACGAAGATACTAGCGCCATTGTCAGCCGCATTGTAACTTTGTCGGTTATGTTTGTATTTAAAAGTTGTAATTATTCAAATTTGGAACGGCAGATGCGTTTGAAAACGATAATCGATTTTGTATACACGGCTAAGTTAATTAAGAATTTTAGAATTTGTTCTTGTTCAATTTTGTACTTTAAAATCACTTCGATAAAGTTTTAATTTCTCAAATAGAATGGCTTTTGTTTATATGTTCAGTGACAAAATAATAAAAAAAAGTATTATGCTTTGACTTTGATACATAACCTGATAGTTAATACAGCGTTTAATAAATAGATTAAGTATTCATAAATGCATTATACTAATAACAATTATAAGTCAATGGTGCTTGAAAAAAAAAACAATTACTTACCTACATATATGTACTAATTTTAGACAAAAATGAAGTGTTAATTTCCACGATCTACGGAATACATTAACTGGCTGTTTCGTATCTCGAACAGTAGGTATTTGGCCTTAAAAATAAATAGGTAAAATAGGTAAAATGCCTTTGTTTAGCAAGATACAGTGGCAATAAGTGCCGTAACGTGGACTTCTGCCTACCCCTTCAGGGATAAAAGGCGTGATGATATGTCATGTTATGTTAAGCAAGATAGTATCCCTATATCCCCATATAAGGATTTGTTGAGGGGGGGGGGGGGAAGTTATCCAATGGTTT